TCAAATCAACGAAATTGTAATGCCATGTATGAGAATAAAGCCTGGTATTTCAGATCCAGGATCTGGTAGTTGTCCTTGAGTTCCTGATTATAGTTTTTGAGATTAGTGATGGTTTCAGCGGCATCAGCCTCTCTATCGTGATGCTCCATAACGAGCCGGAAAATCTCACTAAAATAAAATGGAAACAAAATCAGTAATGTATGTGGACCGAAATATTGAATAAGGAACGTACTCGTCATTCTGTTCTACTTCCCTATTCATAGTTAAACCCAATAAAACCAGAGCCTGCACCACGGAAAGCGGGAGATGCTGGATGTCCAAAGTAGTATGCCCCAATCCCCGAACATCAAAATTCATTTGGGAAAGACGGGGGTCGTTCACAAGTTGCGTGAGAACGGAACGAACGGCAGCTTGATTAGCCATCTGCAAATCCGGAACATTAGGCGAACCAGGAGCGCTTTCATAGGGAGGAAGAGTGGATACTTGAGAAACAGGAGAGTTCTGAGGAACAGCAATGATTTCAGAGTTCATGGTGTATGAAAATAAGTATGAAAATTGGTAGATGCAAAAAGGCGACCTGGGGGAAGACAAAGCACGATAGTTGGCCCTTAAGAATGAGAGTAACCGGATACCTGCGGCAAGAAGCAGTACACAAAAATGTATGAATGCCATAATACCGCGGATATTTAAAGCAATTATTCCTTCCAACGGAAAAGTGTTCAGGTCAAAATAGCTCCACAGAACTCATGACTACATGAACGTGAGCTTGCTGACTGCGATTATGGCGGACCAAGAGGTCACTTGGGACACAACGAGGCAATATCCATCTGGTTTGACATTATGAAGAAAATAACCGATATTGTCCCAACAGAAAACTCGACTTTACATGTCTTTATGGTGGCCAAGACCAACGGGAGAATCCTCAATAAGTTAAATATGAGCAAAGAAAGCGGTTTCCGATTGGTCTAACCACAATCCGCAAGTCTGAAATTCGCGTAATTCGGGAAGGCATCACAAAAAGAAGGAGGTACCGAGTTTGAAAGACAGAATGTCAAGCGTGAAAATTTAATTTATTATGGGAATACCGTATAACCCAACAGTAGGCCCAAACATGGTAATGGAGGAATAGACCTCGGGGGCTCGGTCTTATGGAAGGGGGAAGTACTGTCAGGAAGCGTGTTGAGGGGAACAAGCGCTCGATAGCGCTTGTTGTAAAGTAAATGATCGGACGGATCGGCATCAATCAATAAGTCTATCAACTGATCAATAAGCCAATCAACCAGATCCTGATGGCTAGTTGACATGTTAAGAAGGTATTTTCGGGATGGGAATCCCTCCCGCATAATTATAATAATGACTCGAGCATTGCATTCGAGTCATATCTACACATGACTAGTCATCGGTAGTCAAGTCTAGTCAAGTCGAGTCATTTTACCGGTACCGTAGGTAGCTGTAAGTAGTAGTAAGTAGATAGTATGTGTAACGAGTCAATATGACACATAACGAGTCATATGCGGAACCGAGACCTACCGAAACTCTATAAAAGGCGGGTTATTTGATTTCGGGACGCTAGACTTCTTATTCTGTAACCACCACTACGAGAATTACACTTTGATTACATCTGAACCTTACTTGAGTGATTAACCTTGAGTATACATTTTCCTAACTAGTTACTTATTGAGTACATACCAATTAAGTGAATAGTTTGAAGCCTATATTGACGTCCAATTCCAATATAGTGAAGACCCGGAATCTATAATATTACTGAAGCTTTACCAGTAGTATTTACACGATATTAATACCAGCAACCCTGAAGATTACTGAAGCCTTTCCAGTAATACCTACGCCCATAACATCTATTCCATTTGTAGTCATTAAATACATAACAACCCCTAGGCCCAATCCCATCGCCTAGTGAACTAGCTATTAAATAAATCTAACTACATTGGTGGCAAAGGAGATCCGTATCCGTATCTTCACATTCATGGAATGAGGAATAAAGGAATAAAGGAATAAGTGAATATGAATCAGGAATGTGCGCATATGCAGGAATCGGGTATCATTATGGCATATCTGGGAATAATGAATAATAGTCCTATCATGGACGGAAGTGGGAAATGCTAGATGAGAGAGGACAAGACTTACCAGTTCGGCTACCTTTGCTGCCATGTCAAAAGATGTTGGAAATAGCTCCTTCGTGATGAAAGAGTTAACCGATGGGAACCTGTTACCGTCGGAGTCTCTACCATCTTTGGATAGATGGCGGCATACTCAATATTTTGTTGGTATGCCTGGGCCTTGGATCTGTTTGGCTACAATCAAAGGTGATGATACGATGGGGCCACGCATAATGGATTCCATCTCTTCTAAAGAGAATGGCCCTGACATGCGGCCTTTGGATTTCTCTTCTGCAAGGTAATCTCTAATGACCTGAGGGTATTTGGCCACTGATGGGTGATTGGGAATGATGATTGATTTCGTGAGCTGAGGCATGTCTCCCAATGGAGCGCCGTGTTTAAGAATGTTGGTAAGAGATGGATATCGGTCCAAGAGGTTGTGTAATTTGAGTTCGTGTTCAAAGGCATCTGCATTGTAGGGAGTAACGATTCGTTCATACAGTTCAATATGATCTGCTGGTGTATCTGGTTTTGCAATGTGTGCAATGATTGAGTCTGCAAAGTTATGGTAAGCAAGAGGTGGTGGTGCGAATAGCTCAAGAAATTCTTCTCTAGACAAGTGAGGGCTGGGTGAGGCATTCCCACTTGAATGCGTAGTGAGAGCTGCTGCCACAGAAGGTGCAGCAGTGTTCTTTGTCACACCCTCTGCATCGTCCCTGAAGATTCCAGTACCAGCAGATGCTCTTTCCTCCTGGCATGCTGATAACTCCTCTGATGTTTTGAGCCCAACAGAATGGACCGTGTTTTGTGTCATTGTGAGCATCAAGTTTGTGACCGCGGGTAGCGCATCCGAGGCAGCAAGGGGCCGCAGTTTTCTCCTTGCTGCCTTGTGAAAAGGTCTTCTGAGTCGTCAAAGATGACGCAGTCTGAACCACTGACAGCAGAGCGGGCGCTTTAGGCGGCTGCGTTTTTGAAGGTCCAGAAGATGTCAAGGAGGGGAGAGGGAAGTACTTGACATCTGCTGCTCGTTCAGCACGAACAAGGGTCCATTCCTTTCCATATGTGTCAATGTCGAAAGCATATAGCTTGGATTGGTGGTCCTTTCGGAGCCGTATTTCAACATTGAGCCAGTATGAGAAGTAGTCTTCGGAGTCCTGTTGGTTCAGAAAGAAAGCAAAGTGGTCGACATAGAAGAGAGGACGTGGTGCATCTTTTCTGAGTTCTTTGTCGCGAGAGCATTCAAAGTTGTAAAAGTTCTTTGCCGCCTGGCTCCATTGGATAAAGTCGAGTTGATTGTCACAGTAGGGGCCTCCCGCCTCCTTGATCCACTTGGCGATTTCTTTAAGGTCAAGAACATGAGGTTTTCCTACGATGTGCGAGATTTTCGCGCATTTTAGCTCTGGCATGTGTGTGTTAATGAGTTCAAGGTTTTTGTTGGTGAATAGAAAAAGGGGGAAGACTGGGAACGCGTTGATTGTGTCATATAAGAGTGCGTTGAATACAATTTCCCGAGGACCTGCGCTCCGGGGTATTAGGACCACTTTCTCAGTTTTCCGTTTCTTCTTCGGCCTCTCTCCAACTTTGTCTCTATCTCTGGTTCTACCTCCATGCCTTTCTCCTTCTTCTTCTTCTTCATTCCTCAGCCTGAAGAAGGACAGGGTCTCTGTGGTAAGCCAGTCCTTCAACCTCTCGAATATTGTTGGGTCTTTTCTGATATTTTCGAGAGACTTTGTGGCGATAGATACGAAGGAGGCAATGTCAGATGCATCTTCTTCTGCCTGGCCCAGCTGGAATTCGAGGCTTTTCTCGCGTCGCTTTCGGTTTTCTTTATCAATTCTGAAGTTTAATTTTAGCCTGAGACCGATGTCCAGTTTTTTGTACAGAGCAATGATTTCTTCGGTTTTATGGGTCTTTCGAGGTCTGTCTGCACGGCCAAGAGATGGGTATGACTGAAAGCCTTTCATGATGAGTATGTTTATGCAAAATTTCGAAGATTAACGCGCAATGTGCGCGATGGCGATGAGAGACGGAAGTAATGAAGCTTAAGCGCTCAACGATCGCTGAATCGTCTCTCATTCGCTGGCCTTATCTTATCCTAAAATGAGCACTTTAGTTGCTCATCGCGGAATGAAGAAAGAAGAAAGGATTCCGCGCTACAAACAAAGCACAACAGCCGATCTGACTTTTGGCGACGACGTCATAATGACTCGCCATTTGCGGTGGGCTGACCTTCCCGGGCGCAGTCCATTCTCAACCTTATGCCCATTTACTTCCTTTCCGTAGAGTATTAGATCATAGATGTTTTGCTTTTTGTGGGTGATCATTGTCCTACAACATCTAAACTTTGTAATCAACGACTCCGAGTAGGATGAAGTAGCGTAGTTTTTTCCTCATCGGCTTGAGAATCTCGAGAGGTTCTCCTGTGCCAATCCCAATTATCTCTGCGGTCTAGGCGCATAATATCAAGCAAGTTACCCATCATGCATCCTGGCCGGTGGACCGAGTTTTTACTTTGATTTTGCAGTTACCATTGGAGTCGAATGCAAATCGCCGCCATCAAGCTTCCCCATGATTTCGACAACATCCTTGTAGCTTAGCACTTAGCCTCGCCTCTCGTGTTCCCAGTTGTTTCCTAGTCAGTCCGGCATCTGATTATGCATCTGATACATAGAGCCATAAGAGGAGCGGGGAACAGGGAATACAAGTCGAACAGGTAAAGACATTGAGTGGGAGACAGCGGCGGGCCCGTGCTTTTTGACTGTGAAGCTTGGAACGATGAAACATTGAAGAGGTAAAAATCTAAAGTAAGGCTCTTAGACAGCTGTGGTTTATTCAACAGCTCGAAATTGAGATATCAAAAAATAGCCACAAAATAACAGCCAATTACTCCTAGCCGACTTGAACGACTAACCTCATGCTAATTAGATCATTTGTTTATCTAACAACGTGCTCTATCGACTGAGCCAAGGAGGTACAAGGAATTGTTCAACACTCTTGAATAAACAACGCAAGTAGGAATATGGTTTTAAATATCCGATCGGAGCAATGATAGATATTAATTTAGCAAAATGAGTAGGGAGAGAAGTCGAACCTTTTGCGATCTCATTATCTATAATATTCAAGCTTGGGAAGAAAATGGACCTGAAATAACAGGACATTGAAGAGGTAGAAATATGGGGTTGCCCAGGCCTTCTGCGTTTGAGATTGATAGCTTGAAAGAAAAATAAAGTCGACAGCAAAGTTGCTTGTTCTCTATTTGTTACCAAAAGGTCAGGACATTGGGTCTACCACGAAACTCCCAGTGGGGCTGATAGTATTATCGGTTGAGCACTGCTTGGAGAGCTTAACAAAACAAACTCCAGTCTTTGTCAGCATTCCTTCTGGTCGGTTTGAACGACTGATCTCGTCATTAGCAATATTAATGTCCGTTCACTCTAGTTAAGATCTAGTGATGTGCTCTACCAACTGAGGTAAGAAGGAGCATACAACCTACTGTTGAACGCTGTTCTTAAATACGCGGGTTTCAATGGTTCTTGCACAATTGAGATATCAAAAATTGAATCAAATTGTTTTTGCCGAGTCGTCATATCCTTCTAGCCAAATTGAACAACTAACCTCGTATTAGAATATTGGCTTTTCCAGTCCAAATTTAAGACGCGCTCTCCCGACTGAGCTACGAAGGAGTATGCAAGCTACTGTTGAACACTGTTCTTGAAGATTTTAGTGGTTCAGGCTGTAGCAGCCACGGTCGTCGTTAGCAATCTCCTTATCCTAACTTGACGAACTAAGTACCATAAGTGGCACGGTGGTATATTTTACTGTCGAGACTAGGCTTCTGGCTCAGGCCTCAAATTTTGCTCTTTCGAAGGGCTGCTGTTGAAGCTAGTCACTAAGTATCCGGAGACATCTATGATCTCTGTGAGCATGTTGTCAATAACCCGAGACACTTACTGGTTGAGGAGTACTAGTGATATTCATGATATACACTTTTCCAGATTGATTCAAGAGATGTACAAGGGATGTGTCCATGATATAAGTAGGGATAAGAGTCTAGGGTTAAATATACATGTATTTGTGGGCAATCTCTAGAAACGCCAGCAACCCGAGGTCCGCACACTGATGAAACGAAACACTGTTGTGACCTCTAGATTTAACAATGTCCGCCCACTCATTGCCAAGTAGACCAAGAGAAGCATTCCAGTCTCTTAAGAACGGCTGAGCTTTTGCCAACCAAATTCTGTATTCGTCTTTGCTTATGTTTAGCATGTCCACCATAGTACTCGCCGCGTATTGTCGGGTTACACGGTCTCCAGCAAGATGAGTGCGTAGTTGTTGAAGTAGTGCGGGGACTTTGGTGAGTCTTCCGGTGACAACTTATGGAAAGCGCATGCCCATTGGGTAACATAAAAGAAGGAACGGTAATCATCAAGTGGGGAGCGCACATAATTCTCGCGATTGGCGTTCAGCAGCTGGTTGGACATGAATTCTGAGGTCCCCTGCGAAAAACAATCAGTCTTTAGTATCAGTACATGAATATACTCTTACTGATTTGGAGCTTATATTGCCCTCGGAGAAACAATGTCTCCAGTTGACTGCCATATCTCCGTCAATCACAAAACCCATTACAGTCTTTCACAATCTTCAGTTCTTGGTAAATCTGCAGGATCTTTGTCTGAACTTTGTTAGGGAAACACCATTGAAACCGGGCTGCAGGGGCGGAGCGAATGGGGTCGGCCCAATTTTGTAGTTGGAACCAGATTCCTGAAGTTCGAAGTCGGAAATCGGAATATGGCATCTATGTTATAAACTCAGAGAGGATAACCTGGCGTACTTTCTAGCTGGTTTGAATGGCTATGCAAGCCACGGGTGAACATTGCTCTTGAATAATGATGATTCAAGTTAAAAATTGGATGGCTTCATTTAACCATGGAGGACTTGATATATCCTTCTAGTCGACTTGAACGACTGACCTCGTGTTAGAATATTGGCTTTCCAGTCTAATCCTAGTGACGCACTCTCCCTACTGAGCTAAGAAGGACTACGCAATCTATCGATTACCTGTCTTTATTTTGCATTAGCGCGATGCCAGGAAAGGCAAACAGGCAGGTGGAGGGTAGGATGCAAGGATCTGGACCTCCTGGGCTTCAGAACACCTCTTGTCCCTCTTGCGCCTCTATATCCCCTGGTTACACTGGTTGTTTTTTGACCCAATCCCTTCCTGGTTCCATCAGTACATTGTTCCTTTAAATATCTTAAAATCATGTTGCAGGTTCAAAAGCAGATTCAACTATTCATGCTGCTGCTTCTGGATGTCTTTTTACACTAACGGAAGAGGTACATCGGTGTCGATCTCGAGAAAGGACTAGCGAAGGGAATTTGAAAACCGAGATGCAGAGGCAGAGAATTGGCTCAATTTCATACATGAAGTTCGGAGACTCCTGAAGTCTAAATTGGAATATGTTGTCGATGACTTATCGGCTGAACACAGCAGTGCTACTAGCTCAGAGTAAAAAGAGGCCTTCCGAAGCATTCCTTCTAGCCGATTTGAAAGGCTGATCTTAACTATCCCAGCGATACGCTCTACCCACTGAGCTAAGATGGAGTATGCAAGCCACGGTTTTCAGGTTTCAGTGGTTCTAAATTCTTGCAAAAATTGGATGAATTCCTTATCACTGACATATCCTTCGAGCCAATTTGAACGACTAACTTCTTGTACATTTTAGACTATCGGCTCTTCAATCTAATCCTCAGGCTAGTAACGCGCTCTCCCGACTGAGCTAAGAAGGTATCTAATACCCTGTGTTGAACACTTTTCTTAGTAGACCCGTTTTAGTTTCTGAGTCTTGTAGCAGCCGCAGCTTGTAGAAATCTGGCTCTGAAGGATATCAAATATCTCCTCGTGCCCTCATGAGCGGGAGCCAGTTTGGAGTCAGAGGCCCCGTGGGCCACACCGCAGTTTTGATTACCTCTGCCGGGGGGGCTCTGCTCCTCCAGATCCTACTGCTGATGCTGCTGCTCAGATGCTGAAGTTGTGCTGAAGGATCTCCTGGCTACACTGGCCGTTTTTCAACCCAACTCCTGTACAGTGGGATTCAATTGTTCTTAAAGAATAAGCATTATTTATGATCATATACTTTAAGAAAACCTATAAGTATTCTTTAAGGATTCTTTAAGTGTTTAATGTCTCCCGTGGTATTTCCTCGCACTTACAATATAGTACCAAATGTTTCTTAACATACTTTATTTCTTTAATTCTTAAGAAATTTTCTTAAGAACAATGCTGTTAACAAGTTGTTCTCTTGTGTGCAAATATTCATTAAGGAAAAAATCTTACTTGCTTCTTAAGAAGCACACACTTTTTGAGCAAAAAGAAGCTCACTGCCTCTTCCTGTCCTCCAACATATCATGTCATTGGCTGCCAACCACATGCGAGTCCGGCGTACTGAATCCAAGAATTATCTTCACAAGCAGGGGGGGATGGGGGAAAACAGCAGCAATTCAGCAAGTGGTTGAGCATTAATAGTGCTTTTGTCTATTGTTTTGAAAAGACAAAGGAGTGCTCAAACAATAGACAGAACATATGACTGGCCCGTGCCGAAGAGATACTTATTGTCATTTCCAAGCGCCACCGTAACACGGGCCCCAGCAAGGAGATTGGACAAAGCCCATGCCAACTCTTACTTATTGTATTTTCCGAGCCAACAGCCGGTGCTTTGACCCATCACATAGTTGATGCAAATGGGCGCTAAACCACTTCGCCTCTTTACTTGCGAGTGTGGGCCACCGCGCCAAGCACGTGGCAGGTACGAGTCCTGCAAGTAGTTATGAATTGTGCACTGCAACGACCACCAACAAAATGTAAAAAACTGAGGAAGTAAAGTGCGGGGGCTACAAAAATGGAAGTATTATTAAGATGGATAGAAGCCGTGTGGCGAAAAGAATGTACAGCACCGATAATCTGTGCATTAGAGGTGCAAGAAGTTCAAGAGTATATCAGATGCGGTAAAGTTTTGGGTGACATCAGAAAGTCACATGTCAAACGCTTTGACATTTCTAAATATGGGGAAACAATTCCTCCAAATTTGGGCAAGATCAACCCTTATCGGGAATGAATTCCCACGCGAAACCGGCCATAAGGACGAGCCTTCATTACATTCAGGACTCGTAATTTCTTTCTTTCATCCTTCAACCTCGTTGCGCCGCATCGCCTCAACCGATCCACTGTCCAGCCGCTGTCTGTCACTCCTGGGCCCAGCCTACCACTTGGTGTGGTGGCTCTGTCTGTGTTGACATGCCTTCTCGGTTCAAGATTGACTTGTGCGCTGTAGTGGCACCAGGTGACTCTGATAGCAAAAGAGGCAAGTTTTTAGAGTGCTCTTAAAAATACCCTCCTTAAAAATTCCTTAAGATTGATGTCTTTGATGTGAGTTCGCGATATTCTTCTAATCTTAAGAAATTGTTCTTAAACACTCCTTTAAGATCTTACCTCAAACCTTGGCATTCTTGTGTCCACTGGTGAGTTTTGAGAGTACTCTTAAGGAAAAGGTCTCTTAAAAATCTTTAAGATTGTCATTAAGTAATTTTATAGTTCTTAAGTAGTTGTATAAGTAGTAAGTACTTCTTAAAGTACATGATCATAAATAAAGTTGATTCTTTAAGAAAATGGAATCCCATTCCTGAACTCCTTCCATTTGTAAGTACATTCTTCCTTTAAATCACTTAAACAATGTCACAGCTTCAAATGCAGACTCAGCTACTCGCGCTGCTCAGGCTTCTCGAGGAGGAACTAGCCTGAGCGAAAAGGGGATTTAACACGCGTGAAACTGAGATGCAGAGGCGGAGCGAATGGGTCCGAGGCTCCATTTCATACATAAAGTCCAGAGATTCCCGAAGTTCAAAGTCGGAATGTGGTGTCGATGTTATCGACTGACAGCAAAAACATGGCATTCTTTCTAGCCGATTTGAACGGCTGACCTCGTAATTGGGATCTATATCTTCTTTCATTCCACCACATCACCAATGCTAACAACGCGCTCTACCGACTGAGCTAAGAAGGAGTATGCAAGCTACTGCTGTTCTTGAGGTTTCAGTGGTTCTTGTAGCACGATCGAGATATCAAAAATTGGTTTAACCAAGGGTTTTACGAGATTGAAACAATTCATTTAACCATGGAGCACTTAATATATCCTTCTAGTCGACTTGAACGACTGACCTCGTGTTGGAATATGTGGCTGCTCCAAGATAATCCTGGAAGCGCTCTCCCAACTGAGCTAACAAGGGTTATACAACGTAGTGCCATGACTGTTGAACACCCGTTGTTTGTGGGGGTTTTCAGTGGGTTCTTGTAGCAGCCACAAGTAGGACTCAAGGTTACGTGTTTCTCCTAACTATACCCTTCTTATCCTCCCAGCCTCTCAGGCCTCATGACCCCACCTTGTTCCTCTATCGCAGCTTCAACCAAGTATCGTGCTACTGCTTCT